CAGCAAGGTGACGATAAAGACAGACGGACCAAGAGGCTGGATGGAGAAGAGGGTGAGCGGTCTGGAAGGAGCAGTCCTGAGGAGAGGAAGGGAGGGGAGGTGGAGGAGGGAGAGAAAGATGAAGCACCGGAGGCCGTGTTAACAGAGGAGGATCTGATCCAGCAGAGTCAGGCAGAGTACGACTCCGGCCGCTACAGTCCCACCCTCCTGCAGCCCTCAGAGTTACCGCTGGACACGCACATCATCAACGTGGAGGAGGACCTGCAGAGACTCGTGCTGGCCCGGACACAGCTGCAGGTGACCGGTGCGTATCGCTCTGCTGCTTCATGAACCATAGTGAAATTACACACAGCACATGCATTAAGATTTCAGTACTAGATGTGCAGCAGGAAAAAAAGGTCAGATATGAAATTTGAAAGGTGAAAATAATGTGCACTTTCATTGTTTGAAACTTTTTATAGATATAGAAAGATGTTTTTTTTCTTTTACCTACTTTTTTTTTTTGCGCGTTGTTTAACAAAAAAAATAGGCAAAAATGTAAAAATATTTTCCCCATTTTACTTCTCAATTTTCCTGCATACTGGGCGCCCAGAAAAGGCAAAATAACATGTAATTTCAACACTGGCCATAAGGAGGCGCATTACATTTTTTTCCTCCCTTCATTTTGTAAATCACCCTGCTGTAAAAAAAGGGGATGAAAGTGCAGGAAATAGACTCAGGCGCGCACTTAAATTCACCTAAAGGGCAAAAATATGTAGAACATTTTTTAACAATTTGGGGGTTACAAACAGCAGAAATACAGGAAATTGACTCAAGGAGGCATTAAATTCAACTTTAAAAACCCATCCTTTAAAGGGGTCATATGACGTTGCTAAAAAAGAACATTATTTTGTGTATTTGGTGTAATGAAATGTGTTTATGTGGTTTAAGGTTCAAAAAACACATTATTGTTTCTCCTCTATGCCTTTCTGAAACGCGTCGATTTTTACAAAGCTCATCGTTCTGAAAAGCGAGGTGTGCTCTGATTGGCCAGCTATCCAGTGCGTTGTGATTGGCTGAATACCTCAAGCGTGTGACGGAAATGTTACGCTCTTACCATATTGTGATGCCGTGTCCCGGCCGGAGCGACGAGAGAAAACCAATAAAACCTATTATAAACTAGGCATTTGTTGCATCCAGTGGGGACATAATTACTGATTATAATGACTTATACTGTCTTTTTATGCGTTGCGTATCGCACCGCGTAAACATAAAACCATCTCTGCATTTGTGATCAAAGAAACGACAAACAACAAGCGCTACTCTACACTGCTCAAAACTCGTGTTTGAATCATCAGTGGCAAATTCTTTAAATATGAAAACATACTTGCAGGCTGTGAGTCAGAACACCGACATTGTAGGCTACTCTCCCAGGTTCAGGAAACAGTCCTCCGTAAAATGCATTGTACACACACGAATATTTGGGTTGAACTGTTCTGGAACAGTGTTGTAAATACAACTTAACCACTGATTTCTAGTCGTGTCCTCTTTTGGAAGGCCAAACAAAGTAGTTTCGCTTTTGCAACGAAACACACAGCGACTCCACAACATGGTGGCGGCAGCAACAATGTGTACAGCAAGAATAAAAGTTATGCCTTCTTTCTTTGCGTAAACATTTAAGCGGCGTTATGAAAATCTTCCCATATCGTGATGTAGACATGTGGGGGCGTGTTTAAACGAGGTGTTTTAGGAGGGCGTGGACCAGTCTTAACTTTTATAAAGAATATCTCTTTAGATTTGAGACTTTAGTGCAGCAACAATGTGTACAGCAAGAATAAAAGTTATGCCTTCTTTCTTTGCGTAAACATTTAAGCGGCGTTATGAAAATCTTCCCATATCGTGATGTAGACATGTGGGGGCGTGTTTAAACGAGGTGTTTTAGGAGGGCGTGGACCAGTCTTAACTTTTATAAAGAATATCTCTTTGGGTTTGAGATTTTAGTCTTTGTAACTTTAGGGATCTTATCTATTCACGAACAGCTTGTAACACTCCACAAAGAGAAAGGAAAACTTGAAATCGCATCATATGACCCCTTTAAGGCTTCCATTCTATTGGGCTGATGGTTACAGAAGAACATGTTTAACTTAAGATATTTTCAGGTTTCCATCCAAAGTTGTGAATTTAACTTGGAATATCCCATAAAACATTTGCGAATTAAGCACTTTTTCCATCCCATGTACTCAAGAGAACAAAATTGTCTCTTCCTGGGAAAGTATCAATAATAAAATGGGAAAGCCATTGTGGCTCTTTTTTTTCCATCATAATAAATCAGTTGCACCTCAGAGCACCCCAACGAAATGCAATAAATGCTTTCATGTTATCTTGCGAAGCCTGATGTTTGGGAACACAATCATGTAAGACTGTTATACCAAATTAATTGATAACAGACTTTGTGTCAGGCATTTCAGAATGACTAAAACAATATTTGAGATGGTGTAGGCTACAATGTGATTGGTCCACTGGTTAGTCCAGTTATCCAGTCTCATGATCTGTTGAGGCAAAATCACATCTTCAAGGAAGTTTTCATCGTAGTTTATGCACGTCTTCTTATTGGAATGCGCATCTTGCCGTTTCCATCTAGTGTTTTTATGCAATATCCCACATTCCCATAAAAATACATGGATGGAAACCAAGTTCTGAAAAAAATGTGGCAAATTGAATGATGTGGACTCCGTGGAGTTGTTTCATAGACCTGTAATTATAGAAAATGAATCAACATGCCAGTTAGACAATTGGAAATGAAGAATTCAGGGATCTTGAAGTATGTGACCGTAAAGATCTTCTTTACTGTTAGGAACACAAATCTAGTTTAGCAAGAATCTACATTTGCTTTCTGTTAGGATTTACTCATGCTAATGCTAACTTTCATTGTCTTTTTCTTGAACAGGCGATGCAAATGAAAGCGCTGAAGATGCATTCGTGCGTCGCGCTAAAGAGGGCATGGGCGGCGACGAGGCCCAGTTCAGCGTTGAGATGCCTTTGACTGGAAAAATGTACCTGTGGGCCGACAAATACCGCCCGCGCAAGCCCCGCTTCTTCAACCGTGTCCACACCGGCTTCGAGTGGAACAAATACAACCAGACACATTACGACTTTGACAACCCGCCACCCAAGATCGTCCAGGGCTACAAGTTCAACATCTTCTATCCCGATCTCATCGACAAGCGCTCGACTCCGCAGTACTTCCTCGAGCCCTGTCCTGACAACAAAGACTTTGGAATGTTGCGCTTCCATGCCGGACCACCGTACGAGGATATTGCGTTTAAGATCGTGAACCGTGAATGGGAATATTCCCATCGCCATGGTTTCCGCTGCCAGTTCGCCAATGGAATCTTTCAGCTGTGGTTCCACTTTAAGCGATACCGCTACAGACGATGAAGAGGATGAGGTTGAGTTGTATTAGCAAAGTGATGATTATCAGGAATCTTCAAATGCTGTAAAATTGGTGTAAATCTAGAAAAGGTAGTACAAACTCGGTTTATTGATTCCATTCGTGTCTCCCGTTAGTGGAAGAACAGGTTTTCAATGGGATAGACCTTGTTGAAAATTCTGTTTTGTATATTTTCTGGTTTGGAGGCACTTAGCTTGCATTTGATTCCTTTTTTAAATCGTGTTTGTTGGTTGAGCTTGAAAAAATGCTGTTCTTGTACTATTTGTTTTTGAGATGATACATTAAAGATTGCTTGCTTATTTTTAATTGTTTATAGTCATTTGTGCTCATTTTTTAAATATTTTACAACATGACATTTAATTTATTCATTGGAAAAAGGCACTTAAAGACATTTTACAGCATTTTAGGTACAAAGATGGTATTAAAGTTAAAATTAAATTTCTGCAGTACATTCATAAAAAAAATAAAACGCATAACAAGCTGCATTAAACTTTCTAAGAGTCTAAAATGCAGTCTGACACTTATCTTGGCATCCTGAAGATACAGGAAGTTCATTCTTGTCCATGTAGAATTGCCTTAAAAGGCAACATACTTGGATTGAAGCAACAACCACGGCAGGTTTTTACAAGACAGCATGTCTCACTTTTTACCCTTAAAACAGGAACACAGCCATTACAAATGTCCAGAGAAAGACTCTAAATAGTCTCTGCCTCACTTCAGGGCTCACATTTTTTTAAATTTTTTTTTAAAAATCTGTCCACCTGGAAACAAAATCACATTTACAAGATGCCGGGTTGATAAAATTATAACTTTTGAGCAAGAACTAATCGCTGGTTTTGTTTGTGGCAAAAGTTTTTGTAGCAAGTGAACTACATATAAGCAGAACGGAATTTTCGGCCCATTCACTCCCAAGGACGGTAACTATAACCAAAGTTTTAATAATCATTCTAATTCTATGAGAAAAGGAAGTCCACACCACAGCTATAAGCATAACAACACAGGAATGATGTTGCAATCTCAATATCGCCAATGAGAATCACCCTGAATGTAACGAGCGAGCCTTTAAAGTGACAGACAATGTAACTGCATCACATGCTTATAATAAACAGAACATTATCGTCTATTGGTGTGGACGCTAATATGGTTATTATTGTTATAGTTATCGTTATAGTTATCGCTTTTGGTGTGAATGGGACTTCAGGCCTACTATTGTGGTATCTATTTCACATGAACCACACATGATCATGATTTCACATGATTATGATTTCCTGTAAGACTATAATGGGCCTTTCCTAATACCCACACTTGCAGTCTTTACAATGAACCAATTGCCTACTTTTCACCAATTGGTAAAGTCATTGTATCAGAATGAAGATGCAATAAATTCACACAATTTCTGTTCACACAACCGGTTCACACAAAAACTGTCAAGTGTCCTGAGACTCGCGCTTAGCACATGCATTTTAACGTTACATTTTAACGCTATTTTAATGTATGAAACCGCATTTATGAGGCAGTTCATGTTAGAATTTTGAAATATTGCCAAGCAGTTCTTAAGATTTCACTATTTCCCCAATCAGGCAGATAGGAGTTGGTTTTGCATGACTGAAATAGCTGCCCGGTGGCGTTGCAAATATGACCACCAAGTGATTTGACTGTCATTGAAAAGTACTTTGGTGATCCTTGGCCAAAGTAAGCTGCAACGTAGACAGACCTTATGCAGAAAAGTCTGATTCAGTGTCTTTTTTTGTCCGTTGGACATGTTGGCGTATGATGGTTGAATGATGGCATTTGGAAGTGAATGTATAGATTCATCAAGGAGAAAAAGTTGGTCAAAACAGCAGTTTAGTCAAAAGTTAACAGCTGCAAAAGAGGAACCAGCACCAGTGGGCATGGTCTGCATATAAATGATGATTAGCCACATTAGCAAGTCTGTGCATAAAAACAATCTCAAATCTCAGATTCATCGTCTCTGTATTTCAGTGAGATCTGACCTGAGGAACCAACAGTGGGTGAGAGTTGAGAGCTGGAAAACCTCTGGTCATTCACATGGTTGTTGTTGCTGTTCAAGTTCTCCGTTGATGATGCTAGTTTATGTTCTGGAGGCTGGTTCTCATACAGACTTTGTTCGCACCTGTTCGCTGTGTCCTTTACCCTCCTGTGGCAAAACGGCAAAGGTAAATGCCCTTTGCACAGGTTCCAAATGACTAGCATAGCTAGAATTAGTGACAATACCACCACCATGGCCACAAGTGTGTTTTCTTTTTCCTTAACGTCATGTAGTAATGCTCCAGTCCCGGATGCTGACCACATTTTTAGATCATACGCTACATGCTGGGTTTTGTAATTCCGCTCTACAGAACTGCAGGTGTAGCGGCCGCTGGCGTCTGCAGAGGCATTGAAGATCATCAGGCTGTCGGAGAGGATCTGGAAGGTGTTTGATGCTTTGATGGGTTGTCCATTCAGCTGCCACTGGACCTGAGCCAGGTTGGAATAAGGCTGGCACCACAGCTTCACAGTATTGTCGTGGAAAAACGAGACGCTGACTGACTTACTGTTATCTGTAACACAAGGTCTAGATGTAACTTTTAGTGTTTCTACCAGAACATACAGTATGACGACTCTGGGATATAATGCAAATACCTGTTTGTGGACATCGGCTGGCATCACCATCACTCAAACTCTGAATCATGGTGCTGTGGAAGAAATAATATTACAGCAATCAGCAATATGTCAATATCTATTTTCATAATGGTGTGCACAAACATCAAAACTTTGCATACATTTTTTATGACAGTTAAACATTTTCCTGTGAAATTTCCATTACCATAAAGTGTGCAGATATGTTACTTTTGAGAATAAGTTGAATTGCAAAAACATCAAATGATAATTCGGTAACACTTTAGTTGAGGGACCAATTCTCACTGTTAACTAGTTGCTTATTAGCATGCATATTACTGGCATATTGGCCGTTTAGGGTTAGGGTAACAATTTTTTACTTATAAAGCACATATTATTGCCTTATTTTGCATGACCATATTTTAGATCCCTTAATCCTACCCCATACCTAAACTTAACAAATACCTTACTAACTATTAATAAGCAGCAAATTAGGAGTTTATTGAGGCAAAAGACGTAGTTAATAGTGAGAAGTGGTCCCCAAAGTAAAGTGTGACCGGTAATTCTCACTGATTTATGATGTAAAGCTTAATACAATACAGACAATAAAGCAATAGACCATGATGTATTCATAATTTACTACTTAATATAAATAATAGATTTTTATTTTATTGCAGTAAAACAATGCAATTTTTTGCATGACAAATGAGTTTAATTCTCATTAAAATAATGGGGAAATGCAAATAATTTTAATTGTATTAAAATGATCAGGCTTCATTTTCTTCAAGCAAGATATCATTTCTCTTGATTTTGAGGTTTAACATTTATTATTTTATTTTGTGTAAATATATTTATTTGTCTTTTCACCTGGTTCTGGTTCTGTGTGTGCTGTTTATGGTAGAGCACTGGTCAGCATTGAGGTCCCAGCCACAGTACGGATCCCTGGCCAGAACACAGTCCAGACACGTGTGGTACCGCCCACATTCACTGATGGACAGCTGAACCACGCCCACCTCCGAACCCACGTACAGCTGTTGTTGGCATGACATCACACATAACTTAACATAACATCTCTACAGACAATAGAGACTGCAATAATTTTGACTCTTGCTTCAGTTGAATGTATATTAAATATTCCTATAAAACTGCACAGTGGAGATACACTACTGCTAAAATGTTTGGGGTCAGTAAGATTTTTTTGAATTAATAGTTCTATTCTGCAAGGATGCATTAAATTGAATATTTGTTTTTTTTATTACTTTCTGTATCCACGTTTCCATAGAAAATTAAGCAGCACACCTGTTTTCAACATTGATAATAATAAGAAATGTTTCTTGTCCATCAAATCAGCATATTAGAATGATTTCTGAAGGATTATGCGACACTGAAGACTGGAGTAATGATGCTGAAAATTCAGCTTTGCATCAAAAATTACATTTATAATAGAATACAAATAGAAAACAGTTACTTGAATGGTAATGTATACAGAAAATTAATGTTAACTGCTATTTAAACTTTGACATTTGAGTTACAAGAATAAAATGAGCTTTGCTGAAACAAAACAGACACACACAGCTCATGCTGTTGCTAAGTGAGCAATAAACATCAATAAATGCATCTGTTTATTACCTTGGTGTTGGAAAGTCGCAGTATCTTCACTGGCTCTGAGGGCTCAAATAGCTGAATCTCTTCCATAATGACCATCTCGCCGTCATAATTCACAGCTTTCAGCACTGAGCCGCTCTCTGATACATAACAGAACACAATACAATGCAGAAGACAAGACAACAATTTCAGTTAAACATACTTAGACAGCTGAAAATATTATATATACTTTTGGAGGGTTTACTGATTATAAACACTACAGATTTGCATAAAGGCATCTTTACTTGTGCCGATGAACATGACTTGATGGCTGGCCCTGTTCAAGGCCATTGCTGTGGCCACCACAATTCTAGTGAAAGCAGTGCCTCTTTTCACCAGCAGGGGTTTCTCTCCATTGGCCTTGACGGCCTGGTCCATCAGAGGCTTGTCTTTAATAAACTGCAAGGTTTTGTCTGGGAGATCCAGAGATTTGGTGAAACCCATTTTTCTGGCATGATTATCAATGCACTGCAATTGAAAACAAAGTGAAGGTTAGTGAACTCTGGCAATCAGTATTATTGAACGAGTGCTGAACAGAGTTACTGAACAGAAGACTCACTGCTCCGGGTCGGGGATCAGGGACATCACCCGAGTACATCAGCCACTTCACGAACGACGTCTCAACGGGAACAGGAGCCTTAAACTTGCCCTTTGAGAACACAGTCTGGATGTCTTCAATTTTGTATGCACATACCGCAGAGTACTGAGAAGAGTCTCTGTTGATCAAACACAATGTTTTTATAAATAATGAACTGTACAACATCGGCACTATTATTAAACTGAACTGAATCAACAATGAACTGTCTTAAGCTGAATAATGACACTATTTTCTTTTTAAAGCTGCTTTACTGTAGAATTTAGATTTGTCTCATATTTGAGGAAGTTTGTGTCATTGATTCTGCTATATTTTCCTGTTTGTTACTGTCTGTGAAGCTGCTTTGAAACAATCTGTATTGCATAAAGCGATATAATATATAAATAAAGATGACTTGACACCATCAATTAAGTTCACTGGGAGAACATCAGATTTGTTTGAGGCAGTAAGCAATCAAGATGCTCAAGGACGCTCTGTTTAACAAAAAGATCACAATTTTACAATTGTGGGGTAAAGACTGCATAAAACACGCAGGTGGTCCAGTCGCCGGGGCACAAGTGGAACACGTCCTGGACCAGAAGGTTGTTGTTTGGAATGGGACAGTCGAGCCTCGCTTTTAGAAATGAAGTCCACTTCCTCTGCAGCGTCCTCAGCCCACCCAAGTCACCCTGAGAGGAAAAAAAAAAAAATACATTTTCCATTGATGTAATATGTAGTATAGACAGGAAATACTGTAATGTTTCTCAATACGGCTCATTCACATAAATATTACTCCAAGGCAGTTTACCTTGCACACACGAGCTATTCGAGAGACGTCCACCTTGGTGTATGAGTCATATTCCACTGCTGTCTCACTGAAGAACAGATAGATCTTGTCATCGTCCCCCTCAGGGTTTGATTCTCCCTCTCGTATATGGGCCATGTGGATAAAATGTGGTTCTTAAATGACAAAAAACCCACATATTTCAGTTACTATCACCTTCCTGTCCGTGTTAAGGCATTTTCAGCCACAACCACTGCTGTTTTTTTTTTGTGTGTATTTTCGCACCATTCTCTGTAAATGACTGTTATCAGCAGACACTCAAACCACACTGTCTGGCACCAACAATCACTCCACAGTGAAAGTATGTTCGATTATACACTGTTGTATGTTGCCAACAGGCTGTTAATGACAACCGAACCGCTGTTATTAACATATTAACATTAACATTGGCTTCTTGTCACATGATTGGTTGGTTAGATATTTGCATTAACAAGCATTTGGACTTCAGTACCCGGGCTTGATTGGTTTGCTAAGGTTTAATGTACCTTCAAGTAGATGGCATAAAAAACCCATTACGTGGGCATTTTATATTGCTAGTCAATGAAAAGTAGAATTCAAAATCAATTATTTTGCAAGCAACATATGATACATTGCATGGTAACTGGTAAAAAAAAGCATTCAGGTATTGAATGCACCAACCAAGAAAACTAATGGAAATGCTACAAATTGTATATTAGTACTCCTCTAGTTACCTAAAAAATAGTCATTAAGTGCACAAAAAAAAAAATAAATAAAAAGAAAATAAAATTGCAAATTTATTTTGGTCTTTGACTAAAAAAAGTCACATTGGAAAAAAAAGAGTTGTAAATGTAGTGGTGTTTGCCTGTAAAAAACTGTTATGGCTTGTTGCAAGGGTACTAAGCTGAGTTTGCTAATATGTTCTGGCTGTTTTTGACCATACTGGGGTTGGAGGTTTGGTTAGGCGTCACCATTATTGTATCTCACCATTGAGCCAGGTGTTCGAAAACTCTGTCCGTATGGATTCCTCTGAGCTGCGCATCATAACCGGCTCTGAACCCCGGAAGTTCAATGAAGTTGCAGAGTACAGTACTCCATCTGCAAGAGAGAAAAAACAAGAGATTGATGAGAACTACTGGCACTAAAGTAACACTCCATTATGTGTTATGGTAATACTTTTGAAACAGTGTGATTCAGTATAACTATCAACACATTTCCAATTATGCATTTGGCAGATGCTTTTATTTAAAGTGACACTGCAAGGTACACATGTACTTTTATTGTTTCTTGCTTTTCCTGGAACCCATGACATTGGTGTTGTTAGTGTCACACTCTGGTCTATAAGAATGGAACTTTAACTGGCAACATTATAAATAAAGAGGCAGTACGTACCAACAATCTCTGATGTGTATCGCTGAGCAGGATCAAAGGGACATTTCCCCTTCCCATCTTCTTGTTTGCCCTCTAAATTCAGATTACCATCTGCATAGGACTAAGAGAATAACATGCAACAAATATAACATAAAACACTTTATACTGCACATTTTACATTTGTAGTCACTAATAATTAATGAGACTCACCATATAGTCACAGGTTGGGATGAATGCTTTGGTTCCGCAAACATACATTCTGTGATCGTTTCTTTTATGAAGAATTCTGATATAATTTTTGCAATCATTCTAAAGAAAAAAGAAACAATGTGGCCAAGGGAAACTATTAAGTGATGTGACGTGATGTGAAAAAGTCTGACCAAGCAGAACCAAACACTTCCGTTTCCTGCATGTTCCTAGAATCTTCATTTTCATTGGTATTGGCTTTTACTTAGTATTTGATTTATATGTGTTGATATCTGCTGCAATTATCAATATGAAAAGGAATCACTTTCTTGTGATGTTGCTTTGGTTAGACAGTCTTAAAACATCCTTAAACATCTAGTTACCTTGATCTTTGTATAAAATATGAAATTCATGCAGAGCAAATCTATGCAGATGACACATTTTCTATTTATGTAAAAAATAAAGATTATCCCATGAAAAGAGTGCATTTCTTATTTTGAAAAGATCATTTTAAGTACATTTTGCCAAGATATTCAACACAGACATTCTGCCCACTCACGATAAAAACAGATATTAAAGAGCACAACAGATGTGAAAACTCACCGCAGCATCTTTTCCCTTATTGGAACAGTCTTTTTGCTCCTTATTTGTGACTGGCCAATTCACCTGTGGAGAATAAATACAATTTACCATCATCTCTATATACAAAAAAAGAAAAGAAAAAAGAAACAGGCTGCGGAATAATATTTAATGGCTTAGCAAACATATTTAACCGCGGCATAAGAAGTTTATGTAAATATGCATTTAAGACCTCACCATGGCCTTTTTGACTGTAATGTCATCAAGGTCGAGGGCAAAAATGGCTTCCCTGGCACCGAGGATGAGCATGTTGAGATCTTCCCTCAGAAGCATAGTGGTGTAGTTCCAAACACCCTCCTCACGAAACAAACGTCCTCCATTACCTAGCAACAAAATGAAGACCACAGTCAAGGGCAGGAGTAGCTAACATTTGCCAAAAATGGACGTCACACACAGAACAACTAAACGTTGTTCGAAGAAAGAACTATGGTCCTGTATCTCCTCTAAGCAATCAAAACACATTTAAAAATAAAATAAATTAATTAATATTTACATAAATAAATCTAATGTTATTACATGAAAATATTGGCCTGCAATGGAAAAAAATACTTATTTTGGACACTAGCATGGTAGTTATACCATAATATTTTTAAAGCAACTTACCTTTTAATTAAAGCACCTTGATATATGAAAATGTAAATCAAACACCAAGCACCACGGTATACGGCTTTAATGTGGCTTTAACACAAATTGTTTGCAGATGCCACCTTTTGATTTGATATTTTGTATCTAATGCACATAATTCAAACCTTTTTAGGTGCCCAAATATTTTCTGAGACCACTTAACATCAAAGTACCAAAGTACATGGTATTTTGTAATGATGTCCAAACATAAGTCAACTTACTTCTAATTGGCACTGTTTTGCGAGGTATGGTATTCGGTGTCGATCCCAATCCGCCGGTCAGAGTTGCTGGACTCCAGATGTACAACACGCACAGAACAGCCAGCAGAAACATCATACAGCACTTCAGTAAAAAACAAATCAGTCCGTGATTTTGGTCTAATGACTGTGCGAGTGCTAGATTCCTGTGTCGTCAGAGTTTCTCATTCTTGCCTTCTCCCTCGCGCTTCCATACTGAGATATATGACTTTAGCTGCAAAGAACGCTCTTCAGCAAAGAACCCTGTGAGGCCATCTGAAAGAGAGAGAGAGAGAGAGAGAGTGAACAGGCAGGGGTGCTGGCAGCAGTATTTCTGTCACTGCTATAGTGATGCTAATGTGGAGGATGAAAGCTTTTGCTCTAGGACCTTGACAGAGACACACGGTTCTGCTTTTCGAGCCACAGAACGACACAAAGCCAGAATAACTCAACAAAAAAACCCCCACCACATCCTAAGATATGTCTTACAAACCTCAAGAACAGTTTTCACAAGTGACACGCGCAATCTGAAAAGTTAAAAAGTCTTTAAAAAGTAATCTCTCCTTCTGATCTTGTTAAAGATGACAGACTGATAAACCCCCTCAGGAAATATCTATTGTCTGAAAGCTGGTGTTACCTAACTGACATGATGGAGAAACAGGAAGAACAAACCCACCATCATTTTGCAACCTGCTTTTGCTAGGTGGTTGCTTACTAAACCAAAACCTCTGTGATATATACATGTGGCATGTAAGTCTATTTCCATCCATTTTATTGTCTTCCAGACAAATACATTTTTTTTCTGAGGTGCAGAAAGAATTAAGTGCTTAAATTTATAACTTGCATGTACTGTACAATATATTAATGAGAGGGAGGAAATGTAAATGCATGACAAGTTTTGGTTTTCAACCAGTCAACCAAACCCTATCCTGTCCTATTGAAACCAGTAACCCTTTGTCAGTAAAAACAGAGCTGCTAATTGTGACAGAATGACTGTATTGCAACCAACATATGAATGCACCATCAATACACGGCCTTTGGAAGCCTCCAACATCTGGAAACAAGTGCTCATTGGTGCATTTTACTATCTGATTGCAATGGCATGTGTTTACTACATTGCTGACTGAGAAAATGATTATGGCATGTTAAGAGAGATGAGCTGTAGCGTGAGCGTAGATATTATCAGATACCGCTCATATTTCACCACAACACGCACATGTACACACAAGCTTATTTTTAAATCATTTTGGGGACTTCCTACCCTACTAAGCTGCTAATATAGACCAATTATAATTACCACAGCCTTACACACTACTAGCCCTAAATTACAAATTTTGGGAGTTTTTTTAGACACAATATGAGTCAAACATTATTTAATCCCTTAAATTAATCATTTTATGTCTAAGGACACCCATATAAGTAATTTTCAGAAACTGTGCAGGTTAGCTCAGTCTGCCCTCAAACAGGTTTCTTACTTCAAAACACCATGAAAGGCATTGTGAGAATATGTACATACACACACACAAAATCTTATGATTTTTATCCAAATCATATACTTATACAATGTAGTTTATCACTTTGACAAGTTGAAGGGTGATTTTTGTGCCACTATGTCAAAAACAGTGACTGGAATTCTGAATAGCATACTAGAAATACCACAAATAACAGTAGTATGCTAGTAGTTTATCCTGAATACCATGCTGCCAGAATGAGTCCTAAAATCCAGAAACAAATTTAGACTTTTTTTTTTTTTTTGTAACTTCCAGTTCCATCGTCTCAAAGTCAATGTTGTTGTTGTTGTTTTTTTTATTTTATTTTTTTTATAAATAACATAAGCTGAAGATAATTTCAAGATTTATTCTACAACATAAAATACAACAGTAATACTCGCTTGTGATTTTATTTTAAGCTTTTATGTGTCTTGAAAAAGGTGGCTGCTGACGAGTGGCTAAATGGAACTACAGAGGTTGTCGGGACTTTAAATGTAATTATGTAAACTCATCTACTTCATCAAACTGGTCCACTTTTACAGCCTCTTTTTGTTTAGAATTGTGCTTTTGCAAACTATCCTAGCTCAAACTTTACAACTTATCTTTTTACTTATACCAACTACAATTAGGCTTGGCGATAAAAGTTGTGCTCATCTATGGAGATTATCTTGATAAAACTAAATGTTTAAGAATCATAAACTTTGATTGGTCACAGAACTTATTGTCTCCAATAAACCTGGCAAAACCCACCATGCTATTTCAATATAAATATAGCATTTTTGTACAATACATGATGGTAATCTTTGTTATTTACAGTGTTGTTAACATTATTTAATTATTTAATGTTAACTAAAACTATAAAATAAAATTGAAATATTAGATGAAAAACTGTTGCATTGACAACTAACTGAAAATAAGTATTAAATTACTAAACCTGAAACTGAAATAAACTAATAATGGCAAAAGCACATTACTACTTAAACTTCAATTAAAACTACATTTGAAAGAATAATAATTACATCTAATTCAAAATAAAAAAATGCTATGATAGCATATACATAATACTTGAATAACATTGGAATAACATAAGCAGACAGCATAAGGACATCACAAACGATACCAAAATCTAATTTTCAATCAGTGATGTATAAGTCAACAAGTTAAACTAATGCATTAAAAGAAAAGTGTGTGATCAGTGAATGCCTCTGTAAACCTCACAAAAGTGAAAACAGATCAGCTGTTTCCACAGTGTGCATTTCAGTACTGTTCTCAGTTCCTCTGAAAATAAAATTGTAAATGCAGCAATGGCTGAAAAATGTGGGTCAGCAGCAACTCACCATGCAACCAAATTCTCAGGTAGCCTCTCAGTTCTCCTGTGCTCGCATGCGTGGTTCCTCTTCACACACACACACACACACACACACACACACACACACACACACACACACAC